AAAATTGAATTGTATTGAATAAAATTTAAAGGATAAATTAATATTAATTAAAATTAAGAAAAATATATAAAAAATTAATTATAATTAATAAAAATAATAAATATATTTTTTTGAATAATATACTTTGTGAAAAAAATTTATACAAAGTATCCTCAAAAGGAAATTCGCAAGGCTTCGTTTGAAATACAAAATTGAATTGTATTGAATAAAATTTAAAGGATAAGTTTGGATTGAATTAAATAAGATATGATATGTTAAAATGTTATAAAATATTTGATCGATCATTGAATTAAAGTAGGATTTGATAAAAAAATTTTATTTATATAGACAAAACTTTTTTTACATTACAATTAAATCTAATAAAATTTTATTTTATTTATTTACCATTAATCAAATAATATTTAATAATGAAATTAATTGAGATAATTATAAGATGAAAAAAAGAAATAATTATCATCAGTCATTTTTATCCAAAAAAAATTATAATTATTATCAATTAATTACACATTTTTTGATATGTTAATTAATTACACATTAACTACAACAAAATTACAATTAACTATAATACAAAATTTTCATTATTTTCCTGCAACCCAAACAGGCAAACCACAAAACTAATAATTTAAAAAAGTTGAAGTTAAAAAGAGAGTCGATGGTTGATCGTGAATCAACTCAAAGCTGCAAGCAACTATGGTGCCGGAAGTGCAGCTAAAAAGACCTCTCACGCACCGGTCTGACTATTCCAATTGTTGACGTGAAACCAGTGATCTCAATTGTTGACACAAAGTTCTGCTCAGATTCCTTTAGTTGGTCTGGTTGATGTCTTCAAAGTAGATAAAAATCGAGGAAGGAAGGGGGAGGAGGAAGAGAGAAAGAATAGAGAAAAGCTAGGAGGAAGGTGAGGGGAAGAGAGAAGTATCGATTCGTTTGACTACTCATAGCGAAGATGAATTCTAGCAACTAGTGTGCTACTCTCAATGCTTTGTCAATGTGTACAGTCTCGAACGTGAAAAAGGCATTGACAAAAAAAAGATTAAGAAAAGGGTAGAGAATTGTGGGCGATAAAAAGGAGTAAAAAAGTAAAATCAAATTTTATCCCATCTAATCTCATTTGAGGTGAGATACCTTTTATCAAAAGAGTTCAAAATGAGATAAAAAATGGAATAATAGTTATTTCATCCTTTGACTTTACCGAAACTGAGATATAGTGGGATAACACAAAATTTTCATCTCATCCCACAGTTTATCCGGCGCAACAATCCTGCTATCGTAGTCAAGAGATTGAAACCACCATCAATCCCTCCTAGCCACACTAAGGCCCACCAGCCTCTTCAGCAACTCTACTTGCCCTATTCACGTCCAGCTGGAACATTTCCGACTTTGTTATTTTTTGATAATCCACTTTCAACTTGTTAACAATGACATTAAATTTTTTTTTAAATAGTAACAGAATAATATAAAAATAGTGTATATTATAATTTTTAAATTAATTAATTTAAAGTTACATAAAATTTCATATACGAATATAATATATCCACATTATTATTTGATGTTAATTAATATATGTACCCATATGCAAAACAGATCAATGCTACTTAGGAAAAAACGACTAGACTTGCTAAAAAATATCATTTCAAAATATCAATCGTTAATATAAATACAAAAAGTTTTTGTAGTATGAATTGTTAAATTAGTAGTGATTATAGTCACATAATATAAATTATTGAGCCACATAATTTTTTAGATATTTTTGGATTTAATCTTTTAAAATATTAATTTTATTTAATTTGATTAATAAAAATAATAAATAATTATAATTATTAATTAATAAATAATAAAATAATTAATATTTATTATTTAATAAATAAATTAAATTAATCTACACATTTACATTTTGAAAGCCTATAACTAATTATTTACTGAAATGATTAAAGTTTGCGTGGCCTTCATCACTTCCATGTCCATAGCATGAAAATTTTGATTTGACGGTTTAGTTTAGTATAAATGGTATGTTTAGTTTGACGATACCTACATGAGACTTAAGGGTAATTTATTATTATTATTATTATTTTGAGACAGTGTATATTAATTTTGATTTTTAAAAATAATTAGTATTTTAATTTTAAATTAAATTGTTTTGTTTAATTAAATTTTAATTTAAAATTTAAAAAATTATTTTATTAAATATTAATATATTAAAATATATAATGAATTCTCATATTTAAATATTAACATTTAATAAAATAAAATTTTAATTTTTAATATTAATTAACATTTTAATTATTTATAAACATCGAGATTAATATATATAAACTTTTTTTTTATTGATTAAATTATATTATTTCTACTCGGTCTCCTCCCTCTCCAAGAAGAAATCCTGGCGGCCTAGCCCATCTTTCATCTGTTTTCTTAGGCGGCAAGCCCTTTTAGGTTTTTCTTAGGTATGAGCAGCCGTTCTTCTTTCAAGTTTTCTTTTCCCCTTTTTTTAATATGATTTTTAATTGAAAAATTTATCCTTCTTAGGCCTCTAATAGAAGTTTTATTACAAATTAATTTATATGAGATGTGATATTTATTATTTTTTTATGATATTAAATTTAAAAATATTTTTTTAAAATTTTAAAAATACAATACAATAAAAAATCAATTTTTTAAGGTAGTTTACTTTCCTCAATTAGTTGATAGGATCTATATTTTTAAAAAAGGAAAATTTTTTTTGGATAATTTTTTTGTTTTACCTTTTTATATAATTCGACAAGTTTTTAAAATGATTGATTTTTTAATTCATGTAAGATCCATGATATTATAAATATATTCACTCATTTAATGACATGTAAAAATTGTATTAAAAAATAAGATAAAAAGATTATTCTTATAACACTATTTTTTAAAAATTGCATAGAAGTTAAAATTGCTATATTTTTCATTATTTTTATATTATATAAAAATCTCATAAAGATTCAAGTAAAATTAGATATAGATATTAGTATGATCTATTTTTTTATTAAAATCTTTTTGAATGAGTTACTTAAGAAATTATATTATAAATACAATTTCTATTCACCTATTAAAAACAAAAATTATATTATTTCTCAATAAATCATTTCTCTTACTTTTATCAAGCCAAATTACTGAAATATGAAACTGTAAATTGATTTTTGTTTTTTTAGTATTTTCAATCAACATATTTTGAGATTTTCTTTCATATATTTTAAAACTATTTTTTTTTAAATATTTTAATAATATACTCTTACATCAATATAGTATCTTTAAAAAGATTATTTTTTAAAACTTAAATTCTGAAAATGTCGGCCCAAAAATGTTAAAATTATTTATATTTTTGAAACTTTAATTAAATAGATACCGATAAATCAATTCCCTTCTTCTGCGGGAGGTTGCGCTGTCGCCTTTTCTTACTACATTTTTTATTTTTCGAAACCGAGAAAACTATATAAGGGAAGGAAAAAAAAAAAAAAAAAAGACATTTCTAATTTCTAAACCAAACTCAGCGTAATATTTCCACAGAATTCCTAATTCCTCCATTTCTTAGGCGCTCTTCGCACTTTCCGCTCCTCTCTTCCTTCTTTGTCTTCCTCTGACAGTCATTCTCTGTGTTTTCCTCGTTTTCTTCCCTTCAGATCTGTGCTTCATTTCTGATTGCATCAGGTTCGAGCTCTTCAACCTTCTCCTCAATTAGATCTGGTTTCGTTTCATCATAATTTTTCGATCTTCATTGCATTTCTATTTTCTAGATCTGATTTCGTTTTGAATTAAGCTCAGTATACAGCTTCCGTATTTGATATTCTGTTTTCAATTGATCACTGCCGAGTAATTTTTCGTTTTAGTTAAATGATCGGACGTTTATTGCATGTCATTTTCTTTCAGATTTGTTCTCTTTGAAGTTTGATTTTTTCTTTTGTGTTTGTTAATGATTTGCTTCATGATTCTCATTTTCATTATATCAACATCTGAGATCTGATGGAGATTTTTGCATATCTATGAAATTTACTCTTTCATAGTTTTCTTTTCTGTTATTATGTTTCATAGTTTTCTTTTCTGTTATTATATTTAAATGTTCATCAATTAAATCTGCATTCCACGGAATTGGGTTTTTCATGTCAATTTGATTTTATGGTCCAGATCTTTTCAATTTCATCATAATAATTTTGGAAGGTTGTAATTTGTCTACTAATATGGGTTAATTTTGTTTCTTTGGTTGAATTATCAATCCTCCCTTTTGTAGTAAAACTCCGCAAACATTATTTTTATTCCTTTATTCTGTTTTTTTAATTTCATTGTTGCAAGGTGGATTTAGTTTTGTTTGTTCTTTTTGTTAATTCCCTGTGGCAAGTTGTATTTCTAGATAGATTTTGGCATATTCTTTGTGCCTGTGGTTTATTTATTCATCAATTTGTATGATGAAACTGTATTGAAAGATGTTTGAAAAAAGAAATTAATTTAATTCCCTATTTATCAATTCTTTTTCATTATTTTTTTCAAAATATGAGTGGTCTGCCTTCTGAAGGGAATAGTTTGCTTTGACTGCAGCAAAGGATGAAGAAGGTCATCGGCCAAACTGTTAGGGACCTGTAAGTCCATATTTCTATGCTCACAGTCGAGCATGGTAACATAAATGGTGTCTACATGATTTAATCTTTCTCTCTTGTTCTTGCAGTAAGAGAGAGGTTAATAAGAAAGTGCTTAAAGTTCCTGGAATAGAGCAGAAGGTAAATGCTTCCTCCTTTTTTACTTCATTTTTTCCCCATATTTTTTTGGGCAGCAACTGGAGTAGTGTATGCTAATGTAGTTTATTTTGTAACAAGGAAAATCTAGGTTTGTAGGTGGTTTGTAAAATCCTACCTTCATATTATGCTGGGATATCGTAAAGGTTACTGGTACAATTATGGAAAGAAAATGTACTTTCATGTTATATGTGGTTATAATTTAGGAAGATGTAATTCTAGGATCTGTTGTTCAATATGTTGTTTTTATTTTCTAGGTTTCTATTTATTTCTATTTGAATGTAATTATAGTCCCCCTTTGAATATGATTTAGACTATGGTTTAATGGCTTTTCTTTTAGTGTCTTCTGTTTTCCTAGATTTTCCACAAGCTCTCTTTCTATTTCCTCTGTTCCCTTTTTTTTTTCCTACTTGCATTTCTCCTTTTATTTCTCTCTCCTGCATTATCCAGCATGATCTATTTGTATTATAGCCTAGTGGTTCATATGATATATGATATGATCTTACTAACATAAATTTTAGGTTTGCGGTTTGCTTGAGTAGAAGACTCTTGTAAAAACAATTTATAGAAACATGAGGAAGACACATAACATATGGGCATGAAAATGCTATTCCTGAACAATTATAATGACTGTAGTTTATGATGGTAATGAGAAATATTGTAATTTTCTTCTTAAGGCAATTTTTTTCCTTTCTCATTGCTTTTAGGTTCTTGATGCTACTAGCAATGAGCCCTGGGGCCCTCATGGATCACTTCTTGCAGATATTGCAATGGCTACAAGAAACTAGTAAGCTTGAAAAATACTTTCATGGATACCTTTGTTACTTTTTTGTTACAGGGGAATTCATTTTTGAATATTCATGCAGTCATGAATACCAAATGATTATGGCTGTAATCTGGAAACGTATTAATGATACTGGAAAGAATTGGCGGCATGTATACAAGGTATGCTTTGAGGGTCCATTCCATGGAATGGCACATATTAATGGTTTATATTATTCTATGTTTTATATTTTCTATCTGTATTCTACTTTTGTTTGTTTTCTCCCATGGTAGTACTAGTAAGTACTAATGATAAACTACTATTTTTGACATTCAGGGTTTGACTGTTTTGGAATACTTGGTGGCTCATGGATCAGAGCGTGTTATTGATGAGATTAGAGAACATTCCCATCAGATTTCAGTAGCTCCAGTTTCTTAATGCTAATATAACTTCTTTTTTTTTTTTTTTTTTTTGTAAATAGAAGGAAGTGTGAGGATAAAATGGGAATACCATGTTAATTTCGTTAAATCATAAGCGAGAAACCCCCATAGAAGCACTAATTTAGTGCTTCTGAGATTTGCAACGGAATGGGGAGAAGATCAACTTCTAAAAACTTGTAGTAATTTTCACAAACTATGGTGTTTGGTGCAACTTGTGCTTTTAGAGTTAAAAAGCCCTTCTCACAAGCTGCACCAAACAGCCCCTAACGAAAGAGAATGGAAGGGGGTTGAAAAATAGTTAGTGGCTTTTGTTCATTATATCCCTTTTTTTTTCTTATGGTAGTTTAAAAGTCATTAGCTTTAACCTTAACGATGTTAATTCCTACCTAAAATTTAATAATGGCAATTCCATTTTTGTTCCTAGTTCAAGGATAATATACAACCTAGCCTTACACCACAATAAAGGGCTTATGTTAGATTCTTTAATGCAAAGAAGGTTCTTTCAAGGGTAGTGAAGAAAAAAGGAAGGTAGATAGAACATTGGATATGTAGAAGTGAATTAGAGGGAGGTTTGGGAATAAAAAATTGGAGAAATTTAATTTAACACTCTCAAGGACGTGGAAATAGAGGTTGTTTAATGCGTTGGAGGCATTATGCTTATCTCTATCTCTATATATGTATAAAATGCTACCCTATGCCTTAAATAGGGTATGCATTCATATATACATATATAATAGACAATAATATATTAAATATTTTTATTTATATTTATTATATAATTATGTGATACAAATAATAAATCAAGATTGATTAATTTCTTAACAATAATTGAAGATAATTTAGATTGATAGTATCCTCAAACATTAATTAGGCCTTAAAATTTGTCATTTAATTTTAATTATAAAAGAATATATTATGTAAATAAATCTATTTAATAATATGAGTTCAATTTTTTTATATTATCATATTCTTTGTTTTCTACTTCTTATCTTTATATTCTCAATTATTTTATCATTATTAGTTTTCATTACATACATAATATAATGTAATGTGTTAAAATTAAGGAAGATGAATAGATGCCTAAAATTTTGAAGAGTAAAAGAATTATTTTATCAATATTAATTTTCATTACATACATAATATAATGTAATGTATTAAAATAAAGGAGGATGAATAGATGCCTAAAATTTACAAAGAGTAAAAAGTATAAGAGTGTAATGAATAGCATGGTAATTATTTGTGCA